AATCGGGTCAAAAGTTCACGTGTCGCTCCGATAATGCGGTCATAGCTTTATAATAAACTAAATGACGTCTCGATTCGCATCTTCATCTCGATTAGCAAATCGACGTGTTATTTTGCGTTTCTTTTTATTTCGGTAGGAAGGAAAAGAAAATGCGATTCTATCTCGACTACTAATAACTATTCATTTTATATTCCGCCGCCCGAGCTCGATATATAAGCGAAGCGCTTTATTTTCGAAATTTAATGCACGGCAAGTCGCGGTGCATAATTCGCGGTGCATTACGCCGATGCATTACGGCGCGATAAAAACTTAATACGAGCCGCATGCCTTCCTCGTGGCGAACTCGTGAACGAACAGCCGCGTTTTCCGTTCACACGTGACATCCATATCCCACATTCACACACCCACACACTTCTCTTTCTCTCTCTCTTTTTCTCTTTTGTCGGTTAATGGTCCACCGAGTAGCAGGTGTTTGTAATCGAATGCCGCGAAACCCCGAAATCGAGTTGGAAGGTCGGAAGGCGCGTGGCGGAAGAAGGGTCTATCTTATATCCGTTCTACGAGAGAGAAATGAATTTTATCCCTCCCTTTTCAAGAGAAGTGTCGGCGCGATTAATTTTTATCATCGCGTTTTATCATGGCAAATGGCAAGATGCTTAGCTTCGCGGCTCGAATAATTTTCGCTCGAAATAAAAAAAAAAAAAAATAAAAAATAATACAATAATAATTAGAAGACAAATTTGAACTAAATAAATCGTTAAACTAAAATAATTTTATATATTAAAAACCGGTCGACTTAAAATTAAAATTTTCTTTCTTTTTCTTTTGTATATGTATTCAATACATTTTCATTATGTTAATTTTATCATTTTAATTTTAAGTCGACCGGTATTTAATATGTACAATTATTTTAGTTTAACGATTTATTTGGCTCGAATTTGCCCTTTATTATTATATTAATTTTGAAGAGATCACTTTTAGAAGAAAAAAACTTACGGTTTTATTTCCACGCACACGTGGGGATTAACTGGGCGTCATTAAATTTTTAAGGACGCGCCGGAAAAAGCATTTACGACCGTCCGTATAAACGAGATGACCCTCCTCATTTCCGATTACAAGCATCGAGCGTGAAAATTGTTTTCGGGCTCGTTTAGCCATTCGGAAGAAAGGTTTTTTTCTATATACACATCTCCTGCCTCAAATAAGCAACATCTACAGCTCATACGTGAACGGAAGTTTGCGGTTTTTCAAGCTCGTACGTGACCGAGTCGGCTAAATGTCACAATGTGATTGTCCAACTTTTGTTACGCTCTCTCGTGCGAATAATGTCGTTTCACGTGGATGCCATTCGACCGACTCCGTTGAAAATAAAGTCCCGTCCCGATAGCGTCCGCATCCGGATTTATTTTTACCCTCAGTTTCGCAACGGAAGTAGAAGAATCGGGAAAAAAAGAAGCTGGAGTCGAGAGTTCGAGGCGAGGGAAAAAGTTTCAGTCTCTCTCTCTCGCTTTCTGTCGATTTCAAATTTTTTCCGGAATGAGACTTCTTGCGAAACGGGACGACACTCTTTATAAGACACGTTTCTGAAATAATCATTTCGCGAATGTCGAAAATGTCACTTTTTTTAAATGAGTTTTAATTTAATTATATGATGGAAAAGTTTAATCAAACACTTTAGAAGCGCCCTAAATATAGATATCAATTTTCAAAAAAAAGAGGCGTATAACTAAAATTCTTTTAGACTTTTTCTCGCAAAGATATTCGGAATACTTACGGAACATAGTTAAAATAAGTTGGAAAACGCGAACTCAAATATATATCTTTAGTACTTTGGTATATAAGACATTTCGCACAGCGTAATATAAGTTTATCGAAAGTTCTCATAAAAATAACGATAACGCGTATGAAAATATATACATGCATGCATTTACGCGGACGTTAAACGAGAGAGAACGAGCCACATAAACACGATTATCGCGTCATTATCACTGACTCGATATTATCCGCCTAACAGCGAGGGACACGAATTAAGTTAATTACCGGAGAGTGCTTTCCCGTGCCGCCTCGCGTCGAGACCTTACGCCGATAAAAATGCGCGAAAAGTAAAGCCGCTTGAAAAGTGAGTTAATACTTTAACAATCGCGAAAAGTTTCGTACAGGTTCGAAGGGACTCCCTCCCTTCATCGTATATACTCCGTAGTTGCGCTTTAATCTATTCAGCCACCGGCTCAACTTCTCCCGGACATTTTGCAACTTGCTCGTTAATGTTGTTCCGCGGAAATCTACTCCTTGCGAGAATGGCTCGCAGACAGGACGAGTAATGGAAATAATCCATTCACTTAGCTCGTTGCGAGAATGATTGCTCAATCGAATCATTAAAGCAGCCTTAAATGACCAAAAATGCGGGTTACATAACTAAGAATAAAAGACCTCGTCACGTCGAATCTTCCTCTATTAAATAATGTTTTATCTTGTAAAATCATTCACGATAAAATCATTCATTAAACCGATTCGTAAATCGATGTAGATAACGAAGCGTGATAGCGATAGATAAAAGCGTGGGAAGATCTGTCATCGCGAGGAAAAACAGGATATATGTAGTAGAAATAATATCGCGTGGGCAGATGTAGGAAAAAAGAATAACAATATATGAGCGATGATTGTAGGATCACTTCGATAGGTCAACGAAACACCCACGAATCACTCCGATAATTAATTCAAGCTACTGCCTTTATCGGAGCGATTATGCGAAAGGAATTCACGAAAAAAAAATTTATTTATCATGTCTAAATTTTAGCTATGGTAACTAATCTTTTTTAGCTATAATTTAACGAACGAGAATGTTATAGCTTAAAAATATTAGCTGCCATAGCTGATATATGGACAGCTATAATTTAACTATGGTAGCTAATTTTTTTTTCCCGGAGCGATATTTCCGAAACATCTGTATTTTCGCGATTATGTTAATTTTAATTTTAACGTCGACACTAATTCGCGGTTCATGCATCATATATTTTTTATTTTTATCGTGACGCAACGACACGCGTTTCCCACACCTACACTATACTTTATACGCCCACGAGCCTCTTATCATAATTTGCGTACGAGTTCAGCGTCACCGAGAGATGTATGAATGTTAAAATTTATCACATTTCTCTCTATATACGCATGATTAATGATTAATATTACGAATCTAAAAATTCATATATACTTGAAATAGTAAATATTTTTTGAAAGCAAGAAAAACGAAAGGGAAAATTTCTTTGAAAATTCCTTCACGAAAATGTATTATGAAAAGTAATGCGAAAAGTGTTTTCATGTGCCATTTGTTCCTTAAAAGGAATATATTAATGCTTTTCTTATTTCAGAAAATATTCCGCGCGCTCTCCCGCAGTTCTCTTATTTTTACGTTGGGGGAGACTCGAGTTCGCGCTACTAAAATATTCATGAAGCGACTCTCTCCCTCAAACATCTAAAAAAAAAAAGCAGTAATGTTGTCTCGTATTTAGCAATTGCTCGTCCCGCTGTGTGACAAATTAAATAAACGTGAGCGTGAGATTCGAGCCGAAGTAAGCGGAAAAAGCTCTGTTGGCGCTTCATTTAAATGACAGTCTCATTATACAAATACATACACACGCACATAATTACGCGAGATTTTGAGAGATCGCTATATTACCGTGTCTGTATCTATATTATTATCTAATGCAAATGAGGGACCTTTGTCCTTATATATACGGATAACGATCCCGAATATACGCGTTCAAATACAACAATCCGAAATTAGATCGGGTACATACGCTTTCCGCCCTTATTGTACTTTACGTTCTCGTGCTTCCGATAAGGAGATAGACTGAACTGTTCGATATCGTATCACGGAGTCTCCTTTATCCTCGAAAATGCCAATGTATCCGTTGGAGGAACGTCCGGAATTCCCCGGAAACTATCCCCGAGCGAACCTATTTCTCTTACGCCTTCTCCCTTAAATTCTCCCATACTTCACATTGTGTCGTGAATTTTCCAAATATAGGTGACAACTTTCTCGCGTGAATACGATCGCTTATCATTTAATAAAGAACTCGCCGAAATTCACGCTCCAACGAATAATCACGAAGGTTTAATTAAATTTTAATCATATAAATACAAAAAAGAATGCATCAATCTTGTAATTTCTATAGCGAAAGCTGAGACAATTTTTTTACTTTACAGAACAAATACAATCATCTTAAATAAATAGAAAAACTGGCCCGAGCTCTAGATGTATAAATTTTTATGTTTAAGATAAAAACGTTTGCGAGACGATTTCACATTGTGTGTACAATTCCTTTCTTTACTCAATTATCGTGTGTCAAATGAAAGCGTCGTGTCGACGATATATAGAAAGAAAAAATCATGACAAATTTTGCGCCGCTCGTGGAAATTCGAATCGATATGTTGCATCGTAACTCGTCTTTCGCATGTTGAAGGCTCTCTGAATTATTCCTGGATACATGTACCGTGCATTCGCTCGTATGCGTATGTGTGTGTGTGTGTGTGTATGGAGATGTACATTTTATCGTTCGTTCCTGTTTTTCCGATCGGATTTCGAATCCGACCCGCGCAACAGGGTAATCGTAACATTTGTCGAGTGTTTGTTTATTATCAAGTGGCGAACAGCTATTAACGTTGACAAAATTTTTGAACACAACTAATTAAATACACACGGTATATTGTTGATACGACGCATCATTAATCACTGAAAAAAATTGACCGAATTCGAATAAATATTTATTTCAATACTGTTTAATAAATCATTTATTTGCGAAACTAATAATATTGATTTGATGTGAAAAATATTTATTTGATAGAAGATCCTTTTTAAAACAGATAAATATTTGTTTCAAATAAATGATTTATTAGGCAATATTCAAATTAATATTTATTAATTTAATAATTTGTTTTCAGTATACTAAATTGCCAATCTAATAGTGCAAATATTAAAAAAAATCTCGTATCAAACTTACCTTTTTTCGTCGCGTCTAGCTGCACAATCCCTCGAGACTTGTTGGAAATAGAAATTTCAAAATCCATACATATCGATGATGCGAAACTCTGTAACAACGAAAATGTTGCCAGCGTTAAATTTGTGCGTATTTGTTGATCAAATCAGAGCAATTAATATTCAGCAAACACGGATGAATAATTCGACATACAAACATACGAAAAATCTATAGAGAATTAATTATCGCCATTAGTATACATAACGAAGCTAATCGATAATGACGTACGCGTATATATGTAGTTTGTCGATCATCGAATCTTCGGAATGAGAGATCGAGCTAGATAGGCAACAATTTCAATTTCCTGCGCGATCGCTGAAATAGTCAGTTCTAGGATTTTGGTATCGTATGCTAAAACGGAGCTGAAGATAAGTGAAATTCGATGATCGAAAGTTTTGCTATCGTGGGAATATTACATGAAATGTTAATCAACTCTCTGTAGTTATTACTGCTGAAATCGATATAGCTTCGAATAAACGAAATGGAATATATAATTGTGATAGAATCTCTAATATATAATTTCACGATATTTCCCCATATTTATTCGGATAAATTTGGATCATCACTACTCACGTTTCTCGAGATACGATGAGTAAGTGTCGACTCTTTTTGTCGTCACCATCGAAAATACTCGAGCCAAAGTAGTCGATCCATTTCGAGAAAACGCGGAAGGAAACGAGTTTGTCGGTAATGCATAGAGAAAGTAATAGGAGAACTTTGCGTCTTTGCTCGTGTTTCACCATCAAGGAGGAGAAATTCGCAACGTTATGACGTCGTTTCGACGGAACCTTTAATTGGAATCGGATGGAAGCGTTATAAACCCGTACTTCTTGTCTGCCGTCTGTCTAATTGTAAGACAAATCTCGTGAGAAAAATATTCTCTCAGTTCATTAGTTAAATCGAATTTACCAAGACGTACGAATTGAAGGAAAAGATTATCCGTTTCTCGATATATTTTAATCAAATAAGACTTACGAATCGCGTGGAAACTTTTCAAGTTTAATTAAAATAAAATATTGGTTATTTCATATCATTTTGATATTTTAAACATTTTGTTTTTAACTCTGAGTTTCATCCAATCTCTAACTTTCTAAATTAGAATTTTTACTCTTAAATATACTCTACTATATTAAATATAAGATACATTATATATACTTATATGCTCGACGAGTACTGGATCGAAATTGAATCAACACAGCTTTGCGATATATTAATACTTTGATGCAAGTTAAATATAAATATATTTTTATATTATTTCAACATCGCATCGATAATCGAAAATTTTTATTTTTAAATAGCGAAAAAAAATGATTGACATCTCGTATCATTTTGATATAACATAAGATATATATTCTTTGTTTTTAACTCTGCATTTCCTCTGATCTCTAACTTTTATTAAAATTTACGGATTTTTACTCTTACAAATATAGAATATAAGATACTTGTATATATACTTATTTGCTCAACTAGTCTACAAGACGAGTGCTGGATATAATACTCCGACACAAGTTAAACATAAACATATTTTTATATTATTTCAAATAATATTTCCACATCGACGTTCGCGCGTCAATAATTGAGTTTTTACTTTAAAATCAAGCACAAAAATGAATTGATATATCTTGTATCGATTTCGATATTAGATACTTTGCTTTTGATTCTGGATTTTGTCCGATCTCTTAACTTTCTCCCAAGTTTACGAAGTTTCACTCTTACAAGTATATAGATACGTTATATATATATGTGTGTGTGTTCATATACTGTATAGTGGACAAGTGTTGGTTCGAGATTGTCGCCAAATCCAACACAGCCTCTCTATATATAATACAATACATTAGATTCGCTCTGTTTAACGCTATTTTCGCTTCGAAGGGTAAGATTCTCCGTTCATTTGATTCATTGGTCCATCGAATGCTTTGAAACGAAAATAATGTCAAATGGAATGCATCCATTGGCATTAATTTTTTATGCGATTTCGCACTGTATCCAATTTGACGTTTGAGTCAATAATCGAGAATTTAGATTTTAAATTCGAGCGAAAGAAAATCTAGTCGGAGAGAGGCCGGAAGAGAGAAAAAGATATCGTCTCGTCTTGTCCGAGCGCGCGCGAAGGAAGACGTTCTTACAATTTCCCAGTCGTTCCCGTTCGCGGTTTCGAGTCACGGCACGAGGAAAAACATTTTCCGAGCAAATTGGAACCGGGGATAGAGCTCAGCGAGATGAAGGAATAGCGGCAAGTCTAGCGAAAAGCTGCTGAGAATTTTTCTGCCCGAAACGAACTTTCGGAAGCTGTCACCATTTTTTTTCCATCTTTTTTATTTTTAATCTCAATTTCGCGATTAATTTATCCCTGCATAAATCCAATTTTTCAGTCCACACGCTTCGGTAATCTTCTTTTATTTCATCGCGTATTTGCGCGCGACTGCTTATCGTCAATTTTCATAAAGTGCAACAAACGTCACCTTCGATGCGTGATATTGGATCGGAAATTAGCATAAACGTTGCGATTGGCTCGTAATTCATCCAAGGATGACGCTCTTCCGATTCCCCGTTATCCTTGGACACCGTGATTAATTAATGAAGCCCCGATTAATGTATAATCGGTCGGCTGGAACGATTGAAAATTAATGACTTCAATCATTGTCAATGCGAATTAATTGCCGCATCACAGATACGCGGATAAAATTATTATATACAGCGTAACCCAGAGTGTGTCGGCCGTAGAAATCGATCATTTTCTCGCGGATAAATTTATCAGCTTTCTCTGTTTCATGATATATGTCCATTGCGTATTCGAATAAAAGACCAAGTCTAAACAAAAGTTACGCTTTTATAGCAAATTGCATTATGTTCGAGCATACGATCGGCTACGTTAACATCGTTAGTTTGCGTGATATTTACCGAAGCTCGTAACATATGCTTGTTTCTCCGCACGAAGGATGTAAGAAAATATGAAAAAATACATTTTTCTTTGTATTCATGGAACGAGGAACGATGGTTCTCTCGGAATACGCTGTAATATAATGCTGTTACAAACATGTTTTCTAACAGCTTGAAGAAAAAGAACAAAAATGCGTTGGACAAATTTAATGCACACGCAGACAATTGCAAGTATATAAAGAAGAGACAAGTCCCGCGCTTTTATATTCTAAGTACGCATAATACGTAGAAAATTGCTGCGAGTCCCTTTGGCGATTCGCGGTCTCGACGAATGACCTTAAAGCGCTTGTTGGCGCGAAAATAATAGCGAAACAGTCAGTTGGCGTGCGCCGGCATTGTTATATAGAAATGCGACGCGTTTATTTATAACCTGTTGAAAAAAAAGGAAAAACTTTCTTTCGCGAATTGACCGATAAATAAATGAACGTCAACCGAACGTGCGCATAATCGCGTAATTATTGCATGCTTCCAACATGGCATGGACACCTATAATAAGACATCTGATCGCGTAACACGCGACTCTTTGCGGAACAGCTGAGTCACACTTACACACTTCTTCGTGGTGATTTTCGTGTGCACGCGACGCGTCAGACTTGTAGTTCAGGATTTCTTTTCCGTCTCTCCTTTTCTCCGGGTTCTTTCTATGCAATGTGTCCTACATAAGGAAAGCGCGTTGATATCCCGATTTTTTTGCTATATTATTTGTGTAATAGCCCTCGAGAAATCGCGCATGTATATCGCGCTTGGTCATTCGAGGGGGTAAAAAGAAAAGTGGAAAAAAGAGCAACGTGTAAAAAGCAGAATCCAAGAATTGGGTCAGATATCCACCCATAAATGGACAGGAACTATTGGCGGCACGATAGAAAACGACCGTCCTGTGTTCGCGTAACTTCCGGGTTATCATGACGAAGGGAGTTTCTCGAAGAGAGCCGCGGGCAGTTTTCCCTCGTCTGACATACGAGAGATATCACATCATATTTTACCTACAAATCCCACGCCGTATACCCCGTTGTTTCACCATACAATGTCGGAATTTTTTTTCCTCTCCTTTCTTTCTTTTTCTTTTTTTTTTTTTTGGCAATGATTTCGCCCGTCCACACACATAAGCACGTGCGTTGCCCCAGGCGGTTCTCTCTCGTGTGTTTCTTATTTTTCCCCGGTCGATTCTATACATTGTGTGCCCGCGAGGGTCTGAGGTGATATCGAGTTTAATGGATTAGATAAGAAGGAACTGTATATAACTCGCTGCTTGTGTTTCCCATTCGCGTTTGTTACGGCTGTCTTAAACACGCAGTCGCGTTGCACCGCAGACAAACATTTGCGCTCTTTTATTTCACGGTTTACGCAGTTTACGACGTTTTAGATTTTCCTTAACAATTGGTTAAAGGGAGATAAAGGAAGAAAAAAAAAATTCGAATAAATGGAAGATGAAATTTTGTGATCGCACGCGACACATGATGAAAATCATCTCAAAGTAAAGACTTACTAATTGGATGATAAACATTATCCCGCGATACTCGCGTGTAAGTAGACTTCTATATAAGACTACATCAGGTACATAGAGTCACGAAGTCGCGAAAGATAAATCGTGTACACAATGGAAGACAAATTGCACGGCATGTTAGCGTTGAATTATTCGTCATATCTTGAACCTTTACCGTTGGAGCTCGTTACAAATTATGTACGCTTGTTGAATACCTGCGAAATGGGCAAAGGCTTAATAAGGAGCTGGTTCTGAGGTAGTACTACGTCTTGAGACACATCTCTATGTATTTCCGTTCTATCTAACGAAATCATTACCCTGCGGTGACAATTTATTTATGTAACGAGAATCATCGGAGTAAAATTCTCTCGAGCGAGATAGAGACAATTTTACTCCGACGATCAGCCGGGCAAAAACGGAAAAACGTATCGTGGTCCGAGAAAATAAAAAGAGACGTTCGATGTATAACGCGAGCGAATAAACGAGTAAAATAAGGGAAAATTGTCTTGCGCCAATTTAAGCACCCGGTCTTTATAAATTCGCTAATTACGAGCTACGAATGCACTAGTTTGAGATGATTATATGGAGTAAAACGAATCCGGAAATTCTAAATATACACGAACGACTATTGCAGTCAATCCGACTTACGCAGAGAAACTTCCAATGTCGAAAGTTCAACGTTAAACATCAAAGACAAACTATGATTTTAATCCGCCATTTCTCGTGCACGTTCTACAGACGGTCAGGTGTTGCACTATATACGTCGGAAATGAATGCATCGTGTGTAAACGGCATTGGGAAAGTTCGTACGTATGCTAGGAAATTCGTCAAATAGCATATAATTTAAATAAAAAGAAGCAATATATAGTATATGAGAAGCTTTAACTGTAAGTATAAGATATTTATGTCGTGACATAAATCTCCATAAATAATTCATCGCAATAGAAAATGTAGTAACATTTCGCTGGTATAAGTATTTTTTTATCTCAAGAACCTTATATCTATTCGCCTATCAGAAATCTATTGCAGAGGTTACTTGCATTTTTCAAGAGTACCGTGAAAGTAAACCCTGCTAAAATTGTTATCTTTGTCGAAGCAAAATTGGGTCATTCGTTCAATGCTTAAGCTAATATTTCTGTTTTTTGACAAAAATCATGCTAGGCAATGTATTATCACGGCTTGCACGCGAAGCTCGTCAAAAAAGAGAGAGGTCACGACAATAAAATAATAAAGATGTCGTTAATAAAAGAAAAGGAAGTGAAACTGACATAATCAATAATCAGTATCGATAATCAGTTCGTGACATAAAGACAATAAATCTATATTACGTAAAAAATATCTCGGTTGATTTCGTTTAAAAAAGAAGTTCAATAAACGTCCTTTGACTAGCACATAACACTGAACTCGACATTGATTTAAAGTTAAAGTTATCAAACTCGTTTTGATTACTGTATAAAGTTGAAATTATTGAGGAACAGTGAATTATAGTCACTTATATCATTTAGTGATTAGATCATTTGTAACTCCAAAATTACATTTGTATCGATTAATTCGTTTTTCTATGTATAACCTGCTATTTATATTTTTAGCTTTAATTTCTTACATCTCAATTTTTGGTTAAATGCTAGAAAATGTTAAAATTAAACAGATATTCATAGTTATTATGTCAAATTAGATAAAACGATAATGTTCGATTCGAAAATTCCTAGTTCAAGAGTAAAAGGCCATTAGTGATATCTAGCACAATAATATATTATTCGTGATAACAAAACTGCTTTACTAATAAATGCGCGATCTGATTCGAGCCATATAATCTTTTCCTCTGAACGTAAAAACCTGAATACGATCGAGATGAAATGTTTTATCTGGCCAAGCTATTCTTTATCCATCATTAAAATTGCGATTCATTAGTCTGTATACGTTGAAAATATCTTGGCGAGAGAAAAATGCATAAAAGGGCGGAAGGGAGAAAAAGAAAGGAAGAGAGAGAGAGAGGAAACGCACTGTGCGTTAAAAATTGATTTTCGTAGCTGAATCACGATGTGCTTGCGCGACGTGCACCACTTTACGATTCGCAAGGCGCGTCCCAACTTGCAGCTGCTATGCGGAAATTGCTGGTAACGAAGCAAGAAACGTACAATACTGCGAGAGACGGTATCTTATTATGAGAAAAATAGGACACGCTACACGCAACGCTCATAAAAGACCACTGTATATTCCGACTAGAGGAAGAGCAAGAGACATTTTTTTCAGTTATTCTCTAATTGATCAACGAGAGACTTAATATCTTTATCGTATAAATGTACCATTTCGCGGAAATTCGCCACTTCGCTAATTTTGCCCCTGTCCTTGGTTTACAGCTCTAAATTCTCAGCTACGTAATTTGCATATATGAGAAATTGTTAAAAGAGACACTGAAATTGTCAAATTTTGAGAAGTCGTGCTTGAATCTTGAATTTTTCTGTTCGGTTTATTATTCGCACTTTCGTTATTTCATGTAAAGACGATATAGCGGGTCACACATCAAATTCTCAAAAGATTCGTTTTATGATTCGAGTGTACAATAAGCAACAATCTAGCTTTGTGCGCGTCAGTTAAGGATATATCACACTATTCGGGTCGAATCGACAAAACTTGATTCGAATTTTCCAACGTGAAATCACATAAACGAAACTCTATTTTCCATAGAAATGTGTTTTCCGAATGATTACATGAAATGACTTTCTCTTTGATAAAACGTAGAAAATTAAGATCAGGCTATCACGTCAAATATAAAGCCATATATAAAAAAAGCGGATTTTGCGAGCTACATGAGAATGTGGCGCAGCATCTCGCGAAGAGTTTTACTAAAAAATCGAAGGATTTACCGCGTTTCCGACCGACCTGGATGTCGTTCACTTCGACGGACATCACCGAAGGAATCCCGTCGCATACGAAAAAGAAAAAAGAAGTGCTTTGGCACAAGACTGGTCATTTCTTACGGGTCAGAGGTCAAGAAGGATCGAAAGTACAGTTTTTCGATGGCAGTATATCTTGCGTTGAATTTAAATATTTTAAGAATTTTCTCAGAAAAAAAGAAAATATCAAATAAATTCCAAATACCGTAAAAATATAGAGGATATTATACTTGATATCTCAAGATTGAATAAATGATAAGACAGTTTTATTGCATTGTGTGTTGTATTTTTAATGTTAGATGGTGACATATTAGATATTTAATACATGACAAATAATTATTGGATGAGAGAACATGAGAACAACAAACACGTAAACTTCATTATAAAAGAAGTCCAAGAAATTTTGGATTATTCTGCCATCAATAAATTACGGAGAAGAAGAGCAGAGAGAGAGAGAAAACTGCGATATAAATTGCGAAGTTTTCGCGAAACTTGACAGTGCTTTAATCAATCATGTTCAAATTTCTTGTACTATTTTGATTGTGACAAAATAGATGATGGATGCAATTTTCCACACTGCCCATTGAATTTAATATTATCAAATGCGTTTTTATCAGCGATCAATACTATCTACTATTTCGTACAATTTTGTTACAATAACAATCAAAATATTATTCTTTTTTCGTAGTGTGTGTATAGCAATATTTTATTTAAATAATTTCACTACATATATGTAACGAGATTTGGAATATTTTGCTTTCCTTTCAGTTTAAAAAAAAGAAGGAAGATGTAAAAGCCTTGCCTTATAACTTTGAGCACGCTGCATTTACACGCACGCTTTTAAGAGCACCGAAGATCATGAGAAGGTCTCCTTCGCGTTCGATCGGAACAAAGTTTACTTTTATATCGTCATGATCGCACATCACGTACTGGTAACTTCGAGGCTGATGCCTTCGAAAAAGCTTCGTCCGAAGTTTAAATATTCCCTGATACTTGGTGACTCTCTCTTTCTCTTTTTCTTTCTTTTTTTCCTTCTTTTTCTCTCTGTCCCTTTAAACCCTTTAACCCACCCGTTTTACAAACGACGCGGACGTCCAACGTATACATATATGGTAACATTGCAAGTGCTCGAAAAAAAGCATTAACCTCCTTTTCCGACTTCTGTTTCAAGAAAGCTGTCTCCCGCATATTTCCCAACGAATTTATCAACTTTACTATTAGCTGATGAAAGATTTAGTAACATTTGAAAGAAGAATATTATAAGAAATTGCTATTAACGAGTCTCTAAGCTACAGGTTCCAAATTTCAGAAATTTCTAAAAAGAAAAAATATCTTTATAATTCTCTTACAATAATTCACGAAAAGCGATATTTAAATCGATATTCAAGTAAATCAGTTGTCATTTGTTTCATAGAAATGAAATCGCGTATATCGAATAAGAAATGTGTGCTCTTATTTCTTACATGTAATCTTCCTTGGACGAAATAAATTCGTTCTCATTTTTCTATTCTCGCGTGATACAAACTTAATTATTTTCCTAAGCAGCAGCCAGTATTACAATTCTTCGCAAGATAAAGCGGAGAATTATAGATATGGAAATTTTCATATGCGAACACCGTGTAGTTTAGTTTAACAACCGTGCACGTAGAATAATAATGCGCGCTCTCGTAATGCAAATTCGTTGAAATAATAATAGGTTAATAAAATAACAAATAATGGATAGAAATTTAATAGAAACGCAAATGCAATTTCAACTTCTGTGTTTGCCGAAATTAATTTGTAATTTGATTGCGTAAATCGTATATTTTTAGCGATATCTGTCAACATCGCTATATAGCGATAGTGTGATGCTTTTCAGCATTGCATTATTTCTCAAATAATGAATATATAACAGGTAAAAAACATTCACGTATCAATGCGTAAATAAATAATTTTTTGGGCGGTGCAACACGGCTGTTGTAATTTTCGCGATACACGAAGCTCGAATAATAAACTAGTTTATATGATTTGCTGGATATTCAAATGTTACGGTAGCTCGACATGCGGACTCGTATCTGGTAAAATACCGTTAATTAATGCTTCCACATGGTCGAGAAAGGCACAAAGACAACGGGAAGAATGGTCCTTGCGTCAAAGGTCAAACGAATACATTCGTCGTCGCGATTTTAGATTATTTTCTCGTATCAGTTTCAGACGAAATGAAGATCCGAGAATCAACGATTGTATTAACTTGAAAAACATTTAATTAAAATGATAAACATCTTAGAATTTTTAGACAAATAATAAAGATAAAAATATAAGAAAAATGATAGAGATATAATAGAGATAATCCATGTTTTTCGTGATAAGGTGAAGCGTACTTATAGAGTCGGTTCGCCCGACTTTAGTTAGTTACGCATTTAAATAAATCAAGTATTAAACGTTTTCCTCTCTTCAAGTTCGGATTGCAAAGACAATGAGGGGTAAATATTAAAACATTTAAGATATTTTCATAATAAAATCGTTAAAAAAGCATTAAACGACGAGATATTTACTCTGTAAAATCTTTTTTCGTCAAAATTAAAATTTATATAATTAATTGATATTCTTTCTATTGAATTACAATCGTATTATCATTGATGTGTCTGACTATATTTTTTATGTTTAGGAATATACGTAATCGCTTTCGTCTTCGTGGCAGCTTGGACCGTTATCGCGAATAGAGATTTCGATCAAGATAAATCTGAATCAATTTGGGAGAAATATCTAGTCGACATTCCCACAAAATGTCCACTTCGTGACGCGAATAACACGGTCGTTCATCTCGCGCACGAAACCGATTGCACAAAGTTCTACAAGTGTGCTTCGGGTTTAAGATATCTGTTTGATTGTCCTATTATAAACAATGAACTAAAGGAGAGATTGCATTTTAATAAATGGAAACAGTACTGCGACTGGCCGGAGGAGGCCGGTTGCATCAATTGTCCCGGAAATCCGAAGGATGGCTATCCACCGATTAAGTTATCTCACGATGTTTTGAATTGCACTCAATACTACGAATGTTCGAACGGTCAAAAGCTGACGCGTTATTGTTCCAGCGGATGCTTCAGTGCCACATGTCAAGCTTGCGTCAGAAACCGGACGAATGGCTATTGCGATTAGGGTAATTATTATAGGAAATATTATTAAAAAATTATTATTAAAAATTCTTAAAAATTAAATAATTATTAAAAATTGCATCTTTCTATTCTGTATAGACGCTTCCTTCGTTCTGTATATAAACAATTGTGTAAATTGACAATCTTTCAAACAAGATTGTATATTTCTGGGTAAATAAAAAATTGATTTCGAATGTAATTGCGCTAAATATTACGACTGATAAGATAAAGAAAAGATTTTTCACAGAAATGCAATGACACGATTTTCATTTAAGATTAAAGAACGCAAAATACATAGATGATTGCAAGTTATCTTGAGAGCGATAGAAAACGGATATTGATTTGCTCCTCGCGTCCCCAATCATTTTATCAACTGCGTTGCGAGATTTAGTCGAAAAGTAATTTTATCACATTTTCGCGCGTAAAAAATGTAATACGTAAATTCCGATTGGCGCGAGAAAATTAATTTTAATAGTAGAATAAAGGAGAAATAAAAACCAAAAAAGCTTGGAAAATTACTGCTGCTGTTCGACTATACTTTTGAATATAACATAGAGAGAATTTTTTTCTTAGCATTTACCCTGAAAATCATGGTAATCGTGAGACCATATGATATTGGAAGAATTTTGTAAGAGTTTCTCTCATTAATATTTTCTTATCAGAGAAACTTTTATAAAATTCTTCCAATACCATATTGTTCCACAATTACCATGATTTTCAGGATAAATTCTAAAAGAGAATTTTCTCCGTGATAGTTTATAACATAAACTCCGCTTTGCTTTTTTAAAGATTAACTTAAATAAAACGACAGAAACTTTAACATATTTGTGCACAATGTTTTCCTACTAGTATATTCTTGAAATTAGATTTGTGTTTCTCTGACTTGAAAATATTGTTTACCGCGTACTTGGAGCGAATTTGTGGATATGCAACAGTTTGTATCGAACAAGTAATGACTTCTAGATAAACGGATCAAACTAGATAATTAAAATTGATGTTATAAGATTACGTATGCCTGTTCTGCTTGGCATTTGGACACTTGCCATCGACCTGTTACAACGGCACTTCGCAACTTGTCGCGAAATAGGAGCAACGCGCGAATAAATTGAATGAAACCTTTCGGCGCGCACGCGATGTATTATCTATGTATATATATAATTTATATGTTACATCATTTAACTCATTTAATTCTCGATTGATTCCCGAAATACATATTGTAAATCTTATACAACGATAGATAAAAATTCAGAGAAAAAGTGAAGGTAATTGCTCGTATCATCGTAAAAAGTAAATTATTATTTTAGTAATTAAAAATTTTTAATTGCACATGTAAAATCATATTTGTAAAACACATAATAGGTCATTAATTTTCTCATAATTCCACTCAGCTAAATAATCGCTTGTCTATGCGAGGGACTATATTTTGCGTGGCTAAAGAGATTAATGACTGTTAGTAGTAGAAACGGTCTCTTGTAACTACAGGCAGTAGACGACGGAGCGTCGAGTCAGACACGGCGCTCGGTGGAGCGAGTAGAGGGGGGTTAAATAGCTTGCTAACGGGCTTTGCGTGATAGCGGACAAACGGAAAGAGTTTAATTGCAAACATATACATAGTTAAGGATACTCATTTTGCCGAAGAATTCTTGTATTTTCGTTCGGAGTGAACTTTTCAGATATTTTATGCACGAATCGTCGCGAAGCGCGAATTAAAAGAAAGAGACATATAATTGTTGTAGAATCTTTGGATGGAAAGTTCTCTCAATTTAATATTTTCGATTAAACAATCATTATATAATTCATTCTGAAAACTACGCAGCGTTTGAAACCGCAAGAAGATTCGCAATAATAGACACACTTTAAGATCAATATATGGCGGTTTATTTAACCGGTCATGTAACCTATCGAGAAAGAGAGAGAGGCCGGGTAAAGACGGTATCGATATCGAGAATTTGAGGCAATTTAAGCCTACCAGACACGAGCTGCAAATCCTCTTATCCGTAACACGTACGCGCGTTAAGCACCCCGAATTAGCAGCGTGCGTGCTGCTACTGTATACCGCCTTAACCAATTTTCGTACCAAGTCCCTGCATCGCCGCGATATATATTGAACGCGAGAAATATATGTAGCTTTCCTGGCAGAAATTATCGCGCGACAGATATAAATAAATATATAAGTAATAAGTAACATACTTGGTCGGGCCGATCCAAGGTCAGGTCACTAGGCCGGGAACACACGGTGCTGGCTATCCTCCGTCTCCGTTTGGGGGTTGTATTGACGGGTCACGATGACAGGTGCGATGTCACACACGAGCGAGAGACGAGGGCGACGTTATGTTATAACCGGCTACAGACGGGGACGATGAGACGCCGTCGAAGGGATGAGAGTCGGCGCGCGCGGGGGATGAAGAAGCGGGGTGCAGCGAGAGAAAGAGAGAGAGAGGAGAGGCTCGCCCCCGTTACTGCGACGAGGAGAACGATCGACTTTGCCCCTCGCGACGAACCCTCGCCAGCGAGCGAGCGCGCGAGAGGTCGGAGATGACGGGGTGAAAAACTACTCGCTACTCGACGACGCGTATCCGCTGCGACGGGGTGTCCGTCGACGATCGTCGCGGTGCGCCGTGAAGCGCCGTACATTCGCGACGAACACGACCCGACCTAACCTCCTCCAGCTGCGCCGAACGACTGGCGGGCTCGAGCTTGCACTCGAGCGCCCGGCGCGCGTTCCGATTATCCCCACCACTGCGCCGCTGACAGGTGCGACATCTGTCGGTGGAAATGCGTACTTACTCGTCGCCGCGCCGGAGCGAAGAGCGGGAGATTCGAATCGGCCGATTCGACGCTGACTTCACGCTGCAACAACGCCAACTCATACTTGTCGCTGTCTTCTTGACAAAAAAAAAAAATAATTATTTAGCATTAAAATTTGATGCTAAATAAATATGTATATGTATATCATATATCATTATCGTCAGTATCATCATCATCATATATATATATATATATATATTTTTTGAATAAAAATTATGATTATACCTTATTAAAAATCACATCGGCCACATCGACAAGATGCATCAGCGATGCATTATTCTTTGAGTTCCTAATTCCTGACACAAATATACGTCAAACGATAATATATAATAATGAAAGAGTGTAATACGCGCGCGAAATACGACAGAAAGTTTTCTTTATTACCGAATAAAATAATCATCGACACGCGACACGGCACTCGCGACAACGGACGCGTACAAAATACGGCGGCCATGACTTATATCTCGATATAGAGCGGAATGCGCGGCGTATCCGGTCGCCCGCGTTTCCGCGTTCACATGCGCACGTCGCTTAAAGTTTGGCGCGAAAAGCGCGCGCCGAGTCGTGTCGACGGTCCAGCTGGCGCCAGCGGCGTCCTGGAAAACAGAAAGCCAAACCGGTCATGGGAGGCTAGTTAACGACCGTTCGCCGCGCATATCACGTTCATCGTGTGAGGTTTTCTGTTTCCTGGCGGGATACATTGCCGACGATTGTGTATTACGCGGACGCCTCCGGGTGCGAGACGACGGCCAGCCGGTATCACGAAAGATGGGCGCGTACCTGTCGGAGCCGATTACGAAGAAGGAGTCGAGCGACGAAATAGGAAAGAATGTCGCGTACGGCGCGAGCTCCATGCAGGGCTGGCGAATCAGCCAGGAGGTAAGCGGGAAGCGGCACGTCGTGCCGCCCGTCCTCGAGTACGGCGCCCGACAGGCGCAACGGGAGATTTCGCGCGCGCGCGCGCTCACCGTTATCTGCTCACGGCGAGTATTCGGGGCCGCGCGTTCCTCGCCGGCCGCCCGGCGAAACCGGCGAGGATCGCGACATTGGCGACGACGCCCGAGAGTCCCCCCGGGCACGACGCGACCAGCGTTTTCGCTCTTATTTATTCATAGACCAGATATATCGCCTTGGAATGCGATGCATTCGGTCATTATTGCAGTTCTCATCTTCTCTCTTCTTATGTAGATGTGTAATTCTTATCGGTTATTTCTTTCGTACATATTGAGCAATATTTATTTGTTACCGTGTAGGATTCGATAAAATATATCGGTTATTAGTTTGTTATGAACGATAATATTGTATGCAGTATTAATGGAATTGTTTCAGATTGTTTATTTATGTTGAGATTTATTGTTAAATTAAGATAAATTTTAATATGAGGATTTTTATAAAAGAGAAAGAAACCCCATCGAGAGAAAATGTTGAAATTATTAACTACAATTGTTTATTTGTAGGATGCGCACAATTGTTGCATAGATTTTGACGACAATTGCTCGCTGTTTGCTGTATACGATGGTCATGGAGGACATGAGGTAGCAACGTATTGCGCACGTAATCTTCCTGACTTTATCAAACAGACAGAAGCTTATAAGAAAGATGACGTCAGGCAAGCTTTAATAGATGCTTTTCTGGGTTTCGATGCTACTCTCACAAAACCAGAGGTAGTCAGTATTCTTAAAGAACTTGCGGGAACGTCAACGGTGGAGAAGAAAGAAGGCGACAACGAATCTGGTGCGTTTTTTTTCATCTTAAGGATATGCATTATTACGGGATATACTCTTATACAAATAATCTTGCTAATTGCGCATTTTGCAAGCGTCAAATTATTTCTTTTGCTTACATGCACGAGTAAACTTTTAATAAGATTGTCTTCGTACATTACATTGCGTATAGATGAGGAAGAGAATGTTAGTAATCTGTGTATGGAGGCGACAATGCCGTTGGAGCAAGTAATGGCAAAGTATAAATCAGAGATGTTGAGTACTCATATAAAGAACTTGAAAGGTGAGAAGTGCGGTAAGCGCGCATTTGCAAGTCCTTTCCTGCGCGGTCGAAGGGAACGAGAGAAAGCGAGCTGTTCGTCTCTTGGTGCGGGATCTTCATCGTCACCATCTCCACCACCTTCGTCATCATCATCTTCGTCGTCATCCTCCTCGTCGACTGCGGCTGCCTGGAATACAAACGAGACTGATGTTAGTAGTTCCAGTCAGCCGTGTGGATCTAGCACAGTTGAGCGAAAAGACTCCGAATGTCCAGCAAACAATGAAGCTGAGCAAGTGCTGGACTCTACGACGAGCAATGGCAGTACCGTTCACGTGTCTCCACCAGTGGGATCTACTGCGGATGTGGAACCTGCCAAATCTATGGATATGCCCGACAGCTCGGAGGACGTGAAAGAGAAAGTTTCGAGTCCTTGCAAGACGCCGCCATGTGCGGAGTCTAATGCGAACGAGGTGGAAGTTAATGGCGCGGAATTAAAAAGGATTGGAGATGCGGATAGCAGTAAGGGTGGTGGTGGAGACAATGTATCGAGCAGTTCCTGCACTCCTGTGGAAAATGGAGATGCAGGTCAGCAAGAACGGATAACTAGCAGTGGTCGAAGAAGAGTTCAGAGTGTGGATCTTTATCAAAGCTTACTGAAAAAGGACAGTGATGATTCTGAAGAAGACGAGGACGATGATGAAAACGATGAGACGTTTGATGGTGTTCCTGAAAGGTATAAAAATCCTACATCATTCAATGAACAAATATATGATTTTTAAGCATTATCTTCAAATTACAATGTTCTGTCTTTTATTTCTTAAATCGTTTTGCAGTGACGAGGATGATACGGAAGATGTCGACGAGGACGAAACAGATGATGATGAGGAAATAGAGGAAGAAGATATGGATGATTCTGATGAGGAAATTGATGTTATGATGAACACAGATAAGGTACAATATATTGATTTTTTTCTATAAAACTTATCAAAACTTGTTTCACTTATTATAGATAATAGTAAAATTAAGAAAAGAGAAAGCATATGTTGATAACGAAAACAAATTTTCCCTTGTAAATATAAGTAATATTTTTTGTAGCCTGGTTCAGACAGCGGATGCACGGCAGTGGTAGCGATACTCAAAGGAAATGAATTATATGTAGCCAATGCTGGAGATTCTCGTTGTGTTTTATGTAGAGATGGCCAGGCAGTCGAGCTTAGTTTGGATCATAAACCCGAAGACGCCCCGGAAATGGAACGCATAGTAAAAGCAGGTGGAGAAGTTACAGGCGATGGCAGAGTGAACGGTGGTCTCAATCTTTCAAGAGCGCTCGGCGATCATGCGTATAAGCAAAATATGGTATTACCAGCTGAGGAACAAATGATTTCCGCTTTGCCGGATGTAAGGCATATTACGATTGATCCGGAAAAAGACGAGTTTATGGTCCTCGCGTGCGATGGTATATGGAACTTTATGACGAGTCAAAACGTTGTTCAGTTCGTACGCACTCGTTTATCGCAAAATTACGATAACATCTCGAAAATCTGCGAAGAGGTAGGAAGAATCGCGTTTTACACACTTTACATAAATCATTTTCTCTTTTGTTTTTTTGCAAATTTATTTGTTAATTTAATTTCTAATTACAATTAGACTGAAGTAAAAAAATTATTTTAATATTTGTATCTTTTCTCCTTATTGAAATTGAAAATCTGATTTCAGCTGTTTGATCATTGCCTTGCACCGGATACTCTTGGTGACGGAACAGGCTGCGACAACATGACTGCCGTAATAGTTAAGTTTACATTACCGGCAAACACAACTGTTAAAAGTAACACTATTGCCGAGGTATGTGTTGCGAAGAAGCGATCGGTCTCACCAACTGTTGAGGAAAACAATGAGTGCATCGCAGAAGAAAACACAGTAAACTCTTGTAAACGCGCTAAGACCGAGGCAGCAATGTAAATCAAGAGTCACCACGTGTCATGAACTGATCTCTGGAAGCGGACAAATAAATGTGAGTTTATGTAAAATTATCTAACATCTTACTGTGTAAAGCTGAACCAGCAGTTATGCAGTAGGCATATGAAATAGTGCAAGGTGTGTTAATGTGTTGATTGCTGCTGACAGACTGCTCCATTGGAGCACGTGGGAATGATATAGTGTCGTTTTCTTAGTGGACACACATAAATCGTTTTTGATTACGATAAAATAAATAATTACGTATAGAGTGTTTCAGTTTCTCTCTCAAGATCGTATGTCGTGTATATTTAATACTGTTCGATAGCCTTTGAGCCTTCTAAATATGACAAAGATTGTATGCACATGCAAAGATTCAAAAATCTCTTTTCTAAAAGCTTATAAAAATTAGAAATTAAAAAGTTGTTACGATCTAAAAGGAGGAAAAAAATTCGGAAGATGTAACGCGATTTCATACCATTATATAGATTTTTGAAATATTCTTATAATTTTATGACACACGAAGAACATTTGAACTGGTCATATCTATTATAATTTCATATTCTCGAATACGATCTGAATTCTGATCTTGCATTTTATTGTTGAAAAAAAATTCAACATATACGGGCTAATATTTTTATTGTCTCGTGTATATAAATGCTAATGATAAAAAACATAATCCTGATAGAACACACACTCATAGAAAATCTCTCATCCATTTCTTCACAAGCATTTACTGACACAAAAGTATGAAAGATAATACGTATTTTTAACATAAAAAAATGTACATTTATTCTCTGGAAATCTTATAAGACTTACTATATAAATCTTGTAACATTATTATATAAGTTGTAGTTGTTTTTAATATATAGTATCATAATCCTTTCATTTATTAATTGAGATTTATTAATTATTTTATTTATATGATGCAATGATACCAATGAGAATTTGTATGCGTAATAGATTCCATTTAGATTTTTTTTTTACATTTTACATTTAATACAATTTTTATCTTATAAAATTTGTTACATTGTTACTTTTTAATAAGTATATAATTTACAAAAGGTATTATTTTAAGATACTAATAAAATAATTATTTCTCAAAATGTAGTAGTAGGAATAAACTTTGCACCTATACAAAAGTGGAGAAACAAAAACACAGTTTTATAAATAAATTTATTATATTTAGAGATTAAACGAATAAAATAATAAAATATATTTGTATCATTGCGTCATTTATTTCAAATTATAATAATTTCTCTGATTATTATAATATGCTACGTTTAAATTAACAATATATATGAGTTTAAGATTATCACATATTTGCGTTTGATAATGAAAATAAAAGTTGTAGATTTTTTTCATATATCATCCCATCTGCTCCAGCTGCACTTACAAAGTATATTCCTTGAGTTTTTAAGGATTACACACATAGTATAAATGTATATATTTATAAATGTAGACTATATAAAACTTCTATTTGTAAGTCAATACATTATCTCTTTATTTTTACGAAATAGAATTTATTTTTGAATTTCCCTGGGTATATAGTGGTTGAATGGATGGGTGTGCAAATAGCCTTAAGATGTTTAAACTTAACTATTATAATTAAGACAATTGCGTATAACGCGTTACCAATTTGTGATCTTGTATTAATGATAATGTTAAAGAAATACAAAAAATGATGTACTCGCGTTAAACTACGTCAAAAGCTCCGTATTTTAGAATTACCTAAATTTGAAAATTCGCATATGTCAAAAATGTGTTTTTTGTAAATTTATACAGTCTTGTATAGATGTATTGTAGAGCTTTGAGAAAACATCAAAGGCGTTTGTGGAAATGATTAAAATTGCAGAGCTGAAAGTGGTAATTACACAAACGCATTATAGTTGTGAGATATAAAATTATGATAAATTTAAAATATAATTAATTATCACGATATTTACTTCATAATACATCTATATAGTACTTTGCTAAATGCAGAGTATGTCTGTGACATCATAGCTGCAAAATTTTTTCTGATAAATGCGAAATATTGTAGTATTATAATAAGTGTAAAATAGTATTCTAACAAATACGAAATAGAAGGCAGAACATATTATATCTGAGAGCAAATATATCTCTTGTATAGCTATTGAAAATATGAAATTTCGGTAATTTATTGAAAAGAAAAGCTTTTAACAGTAATTAGATGAAAATTTTGTGTAAATTTTTTTTGCTCTTAGATATATTTAAAATATGCCTACATCACGCTCCTCCATCCAATATTTACCCATGAATAGATTGACGAAGCGCATGTTAAACACAGACATTGTGTCTGTAAAACATTTGTCTGAGAAAATTACGATTTTATTCAAAATAGTTAAATTATCTGGATACGTGCGCTAATTACAGTACTCATCGCATGCTTGCAAATTTTATCGAAGCTTGCGTTACACGGTTAATATACATTAACCATAAATAGGCAATATTATTTGAGCAAATAGAAATCTACCGTCAACGATATTTCTTTTTTTTTTTTTTTTTTTTACATATTAAGACTTCTATTAAGACTTTCACGTTGTAGAGAGGTTTCCAATTCAGTCGCAAGAATAGAAAATTTCTGTTTTCTTTCATTGTAGAAATTCATAATTACATTAAAATTTGACGAGAGATGAATGTAGAAGATAGAAATCTGAGAATAGTGAATCGACCCAATGACATCTTTGCGATATTTGTCATTTGCCGCCAATATAGATTCTTCTGTCGATGCTCATGTGTAATCGCGATTGTTAGTGTAGACAGTAATTTTATCGAAGAAATATTATTTATAATTAAAAATACAGAAGCAATTAACGATACTCTCATGTAAACACCGTTTGCAAGGTGATCAGTAGCGTATCGATACTAGATGTGCGACACACTTCTAGTGTCATCCAGAAAGAACTGATGTGCCTTTCCAATTCAGGGGTTGACAACCTTCGCAACATGCGTATGTATATTCGATTCCGTCTCAAGAAGAAAGGTTTGCGCCCCAAATACTGTCTTTAACTGCAAACTTCATCATATATACATTTATGTATAATAATACCTTGTTTCATAATACATGTCACACTTGAATCAATCTCTTATTTCCATTTTCTATCCTTTTAATATTTTCATTTTTTCTTCCTGCTTGAAAAAAATAAGTATGGATTATATTCTTAAGCATATAAATTTGGGAGAAATGATCCAAAAGTTTGCAGAAAGCTCAAGCTGTCGTTTTTTACGTCCAATAATATTCAATTTCTTTCTTAAATAATTTTATTATATGTCAATATATGTATTTGAGCAAATAACAAATCTGGCTTTGTATGATGTATAGAATTAGCTTTACTACTTGTCCAATTAATATTCATATTCGTTACCATGAATGTATCATGTTCTGTTTCTATTTTAATACTTGTATCTTTTTAATTTTTGATTTTATAGTTGTAATATTTCTCTCATATTTAAAAAATTTTGAAAGGTATATTTCATGATATATATCCTATTATTTGTTATCTGTTTCATCTCACAATTTGTTATTTGTAAAATCGTACAAAAGGGACAGAAAAACTTGTAAATTATTTTATTCAACATAGATATATTCGATTCAATGTATAACGTACATATTACAGAGATATGAATAAATCCTACAATGCAGATGTAACGCACAATATATATGGTCCCTTTATTAATTTTTTTTTTTGGGGGGGGGGGATTACAGATCGTATTTTAAAAAACACGAAAAAATATATATATACATATTTTTCCTTTGTATACATTTTAATATATATATATTTATGCCAGTGTAACTCACACAGTCTGTAATTGTTTCTGTACATTCCATCTTTACTCATTTAACACTTTCGAAAAATTGAGCAAACTTATCTCTTATTATTATTATTCTATCGCAAAATGAAAAACTAATGATTTTTACGTTATATTATAATCAATAAATATTGGTATTCGCATTGATTTCCAAAACACTTTGGTTTCAATTGTCACTTGGAGATTCTTGGCAGCAGTGAAATAATATGTTTGGAATGACATTAGAGTAGAAAATTCAAAATAAGCTCGTTTATTAAAATCAGATATATCACATGTACTGTAAGATCTGGATCACTTTTGCAATCCAAGACCGAAAAGGGAAACATTCGAATACCTCCATCATAGCATGAAACTGAATTGCATTCTTATACGAATACAGTTGTGTATATATATACACAAAGTATCGAATGATCTCGAGCATGTGAGATTAAATTGATGCGTCTGCCACATAAGCTTTTATGACATAAAGTGACATAATTGTGTTGATGAATGAATATATGAGAAAATACCAAAATTATCCGGGCCCTATTGTATTATTCATTCAAGTTGGAAATCTTCAAACATGTAATTTAACATTTTATACATTTACGGTTTCTAATTTAATTAAAATAACATTTAATACACATCTTCTTAAAATCATTTCTGATATTAGATTTTGATTTGTTATTTTACTGGCAGTGTTTACTCCACATCATCCTTTAAGCAGTTTAATAAAATTCTGGATCTACAGAAAAAACAAATAACACACAATACATTTTAATCATTTATTAAGATATCAAATTATGCAAATTTATAAGAAAAATATATAAACAAGATTTTACTGTAATAATATAGATAATAATATAGGAATAATAATATAATAATTGATAATTAATCATAAAATGCAATAATGATGTGATGATGATGAGACAATGATAATGATAATGATTAATAAAATAATAATACTTATACAACAGATAACAATTCTAGTTTTGAACAAAAATTTTTGTAACAGTTTGATTAATCTAAATGACTGCTTAAAAGTTGTTATAGAGTATAAATTCATAAATAATTTTATCAGTCACAGAATGGCAACTTGGATTATTTCTGTCGCGGATTTAATGTAACAATTTGGCACATGAATGGTAAACGCGTAAAGCGTTTACATTTATATGATTTACAAATTGAAATTAATAAAGGGGAGATGCCACTCTCTTATTCGCACATTTATATACACTTATAAACACACTTGTATAACAAGAATAGCAAAGGCGAAGAAACTTAAAGACACAAATTTGTCATTCCATTTTACGTTAACTACGGAGTTGATGTGTATTTTTTTCTAGATATATTTTCAACAGAATTATGCGCGAAATTAAGATTGTAATGTAAGAAATGTATTGAGATAATCGTCCGATCAAAGTTTCTAGTTTTCTTCTAGTGTTCTATGCACAGGGATGAAAGAAAAAAAGAAATTTGACTCGGCCGATAGACAATAACCAAGTATCATATGGTATTTGTGCTTGGTATACTTCGTATTTTTGTCTTATTTTATATTGATTCGTGTCTTGAAAGAACGAACGACGCTGAGAATCGCAGTATGTGGTGGACTGAGGAGAACAAGACTGGGTCAGTTGGTGTTTTGTTTGTTGGAACGAAGGCGAGCCAAGCCTGAACGCTCACCCTCCTCTTCGTCGGACGTACAGGGTACCACGCCGCGCGAAGACGTTGCCTGCATTAATTCTTGATCCGGACCGTTTCGATGCTCGTACAATAAAATGTTCAATGTCTCCTCGTATATTCGAGCTTCCGGGAATTCAACCTAAAAGTATTGTTTGTTACACAATTCTGATATGAACAATTGAATGATCATATTATTGTATGCATTGTCTGATATTTACCTTTGTATGCTTCTTATCAGTCGTATAGACGATCGAATGGCAACAGACTTCGGCTACTTTACGACCGTGTCCGTAAAATGTCCAACAGCAAATCTCACTTGAACCGATTACATCTTTGATGAATAACACTCTACCACTGAATCTAAGTGACATTTTGTCAAATAATTCTATGTTCTTTAACAGATTGTCATCTGATGTACTGTAAAGATTAAATTAATTTTCTTTAATGAGCTTATAATTACAACAATAGAATATTAAGAATAATGAATTTTATTCACTGTTTCTTATCATTTTTTATGGATTTAGAGTATTATTTATCTATAAGTTATATAAGAAATATTATTTCTATATCAATTTATCATTGTACTTTAATTTATGCTTGTAAAAGCTGATGAAAATTGATGAAAATCAACAAAACGTAACAATCTTCTACTGTTAAGAAATATTTTATATTACCTCGTATAGGAATATTTATTATTATGTCTATTAATAAGCAGCTTGACTACAGGCTTAGTAGTATTGCTTATAAGTAACTGCTCTTCTTTCTGAGAAGTGATAAGGGGAACTCTGCAGATGGGTTCTGCTTCACGTTCTTTCCGAAGAAGCGCCTGTTCACAAGACTCAGCCAGCTCGCTGATACAGTAGTACTTTGCTTCGGCTAGTAGCTCTGCCATTTCTTTTGTACTTTCTGGCAATGGGACTGAACCGTCTCGCAAAAAATTCAAAATTGTCCCGAAATGTTTGCCGCACCGATCAATCAATATCCAGCCTACAGACAGAAAGAAAAAGTATGTAAATCAAAGGTTCAGATAAAATATCAAGTGGAGCGTTCAAAGAATTCTTAGGAGATAAAATCATCATTTTTATTCAAGATCGAGCTAAAAAAATCAATATATTTTACCGTCTACTTTGTAGGAGAGTGATCGATTTAAAAAACTATTATAATCCAAAATATATATCGCACGATACCTCACCTTCGGAATCGGTGAGCACTTCCATGCGACCGCTAAACATAGCACGTAGCATAGTATCATGCTTTTGCAAAGTGCCTAACGTGGTATAATGGAGCGAGCCTCCGATGTTCAATTTGACATACTCCGAGGGATATTTAATTCCCGTCTTGTGCTCGCCCGACATAACGAACCCTTGGCGAATGAACCTGGCAAAGCCGAGGCAAGTACTGACGCGACGCCGCGCGACCGTAAGAAGAGCAACCGTATATCGATTTTGTTGATATAATCAGGAATGCTGCGTGTGTGTACACAATCGACAGATACTAAGGAAACGTCTCGCGACGAAACGACGTGACAACTGACAACGCGCGGTTAGCGTGCTCTATGTGACATCGATCAGCTGTTCCTCTATATTCGCTGACATCAGGAAAGCGAAGAAGACGCGGATCTCAACGTGTCCGCTTGTCGCTTTATTTTCTCTCATTCATTACCAGCTCATTATCAACGCGGAGAGAACTATATACTGCTATTATATTAACTAACCAGAACTAACGGCGAATGCGCCGAGTGCGACAGCAGCCTTCAATCATGGTATATAAGAACTGTCAAGAGAGTCGCGCGACATGTTCATGCCGGATCGCATCTATCGTCGACTAATCGAATAATCGATAAATAATGGCTGACTTGGACCAATCAGAATCGTCTATTCCGAATGAAGTATATCTCGTGTAATTTTATTACCCCAGACGTAAGAAGAAGAAGAAGAATGGCGGACTCGTTGACGAAATATGGTATTTACATCGATGATTTGAGCAAGATACGCGTTTTAGAGCCAGAAGCCGCTAATCAAACCAACAAACTGAAGGACGAGTGTCAAAATTTCGTGTCCAGTAAGTCATGTTAGCTCGCGGTGTCGACGAACAATGTCGATGAAGTCCGTTTCTCTTGACACTCACCTGATTGTTTTTTTTCTACTAGCAGCACGAATCTTCACTTGTATTTCCTATTTATTCGATGAATGCGTGAGAAAAACGCATGTCTGTACATTAGGGTAGCAATTACTGTAATTTATAATTGTGTTAATGAATATACCAATCTTGTCTCTCGTTGATTGGAACGCTTAATTATTCACGCCTGAATGCGATCTCCATTGATCATTGTGGCGCGAAACGAATAAACTTGACATTTTTTTATATATAAAAATGAAATACAAATCAATGTATTATAACGTTGTGTAACATATGAATTAAACGAGTTAATTAATATTAGGGAATCAAGCACTTCTTAAAATTATGCACAAAAATATACATTTTATTTAATTGCTGATTGCACTCTTGTTATGATTTGAATTTGATTTAAACATATTTATCAATTATTATAATAACTGAATTTTTTTTACTTTGCAGAGATTACCGATTTTGAGAAAAATTCTGATGATTTTATAAAATTTTGGACAATTTAGGGAAGAAAGTAGAGATTGAGAAAATGAAAACAATTGGTGCAAGGAATGTGCTACGTTCCATTGAAAAACAAAGAGAAGCCCAGAAGCAACAGATGCAGGTTTTGAAATAATGACAAGGATTTTGATAATAATGTACATTTTATTTGTTCTCGATCGATTTCAGTTTATTCTTTTGTTACAGGCTTTAATCTTAGAAAAGTCCATGGAACTGGAACGATTACGAGTACAATATGACTCTTATAAAAAGATAGAAATGGAACAATTAGAAACAATTGAACATTTGTCAGTAAATTAATCTTGTTGTAAGTTAAAGTATTAAACTTTTCATTATTTTTTTTAATATAGTAAGAGCATTTTGAATTAGTAAGAACATTTTAAATTATAGTAAGAACATATTGAACATTTTGCTCTTGCTAATAACATAATATATAATTTTAGAAAATTTGTTATATTAGTATATAAATATATTAATATATTACTATATTTTGAAAAGTATATATCATAAATATTTATAGAATTTAGTTTCTTTAGAATTCTGAAAAGTCGACATTACATGTCTGATGAAAAGTTTATGTAATTATATTGGTTATTCGATGAAAAGAGTATATAGATTTTTAGATTTGAAATTGCTATGTTTGTAAAAAGTAAACAGTAAATGTATCCGCCAATCAGCTCATTGGATAACGGAATATATTAATATTTTGAAAATGGTAGTACACACTCTTGGTTAGATCTCTAGTCATGGTAATGTCACAGTGACGACACAGCATTTCGCGCGCCAAAAACTATTGCAACGTTCCTGAAGCGTCCGACATTCATCGTCCAAATTTATTATCACGAAACATCATTACTGCTGTAATTTTGGTATCTATCGATCCATAATTTTTATACGCGTGCGAAATGCTTGAAGTCTTCGCGTATTTTGTGTTATTTTCTTGCCGAAATGCATCTGAAGTGCAACGTGTGCATCGTAGCGAGGTTGGTACATGTCTTCGTTCTACCATTAATTTTCAACGGATTTTGATAAATTTTTATAATAATTCGCTGCATATATGTGTATATTTCAATTATTTCTATATTTACAGATGCTCACTAAAGTATTTTGAGTTATACAGGCTATTATTTGCATATTTTTACATATTTTTGCATATTTTATTTTTGCATATTTTATTATGCTACTTTTTATTTTGATACTTTGAATCGAAATATTTGCTTTTCGTTGTATATGTGTATTTAAATCATTTTTATATTTCATACAAACATCTACAAACATTTGCTGAAATATTTCGAGTATTATTTGCATTATTTATTATTTCACTTTTCTCAGCGATCGCTTTGGTACTTCGAGAATCGCAATTTCGCCCTTCGATAGATCTCGAATCGCCATCTTGCTTTTCGATAGCTCTCGAATCGCCGAGTCAGTCACGCGTTGCCGGGTCGTATTTTTATCGCTCCGTATTTATATGGCATTTCTCGTAATTATTTTCGTACAATGGACCTTGCGTGTAATCAATTATTGCGTAGAATCGTCGGGCATTTCTCGTGATATATTAGAGATCGTGTGCAATCGTAATTTTGTATCAATATCGCGACTTTTTCGTCGACAATTTCGGTTCGCGTTTGCGGGAACCATTTCTTCGGGTCGATCAATTTGAAGTTGGCTGTGCGTCCTTTCATTCGTCATGCGACAATTTAGTAATGGCGCGATTTTAAAATGATGCGAGTTCTATTTCTATTCGAAATAGCGCGTAGTTGAGGTGTGTGTTTCTAACCTTTATCGTTGGTTTCTAACCTACCTTTGATATTCGCGATGTATAATTTATATTATTAATAGAATTCGTATCGAATTATTAAACGAAATCTTGCAATTTGCATTACGCGAGTGATATTTCATGTTATACAAATACCAAAATGGGTGCTACTATAGGTGACTTCATTATTTTTGATAAATTTTTTTACTTATTTTTTTTACAAACAAAATTAAAAATTGAAAAGATGTGCTAATATGTCTTATTTATATTACAGATTCTATCTTATATTTGTGCCTTGTGGCGGTTCTTTGGGGAGTAACAAATCCATTTATAAAAAAAGGTGCGCAAGGCTTGGAAAAAGTCAAGGCTACCTCTATTTATGGACAATTTATCAAGGAATTCACGTTTCTCGTTACCAACTTGAAGGTTTGTCATCTTTCTGTTTCTAATACTTAAGATTTTAATAATTTTATACTAATAATTGTATATCAAACTAAACATAAAACTAATAATTGATTTTTTGTTTTGTACAGTATATGCTGCCGTTCATCATTAACCAGTGCGGGTCAGTGCTATACTTTCTTACTCTGCAAAGCACTGATATATCTCTAGCTGTGCCAGTTTCAAACTCCCTTACCTTTGTATTCACCGCAATCACAGGCTGGTTCCTGGGCGAGGAAAAAGTGCATAAAAGTGAGTATGAAATTATTTTCATCTTTCTATAAGGAATTGTAATAAATTATTTACTTTACGATTTGCTTTCCTTTTAGATACTTATTTGGGAATGCTATTCATCCTGTGTGGAACAACATTGTGCTGTTGGGATAAAATGCAGAAAACTGTGGACTTACATATTTAAGACAATAATAGTGCATTGTTATCCTTCCTGTTGCTGTCCGTCCATAGCCTGTCAATTAATCCAGACCCATCCTGCATAATGTGAGTAACACATATAATCCTCCACAATGTGAGTAACACATATAATCATTCCAATAAAACAAAAGCGACAAATCACGCTTGATTTCATGATTTCATGGAATATATATTTAATATATTTTATTATTATTATATGATGATATGATATATGATTTATTTTATTAATCATGTTACACAAAATATAACTCGTTCTCAGTTTTCGCGCATTTCTACTTATTTAACGCATCTTATGCATATAAAAAAAGTAATGTCTATATTAATACATAATAGATTTTATTGGCAATTACATACAATATTGTTAATATATATATATTCATGATATTTACATGCAAATCATTTGATGATTTATATGTACACATACACTCGTAAGTAGCACCGAGTAGGAATGAAATAATTGCTATGGTGCAAGATGACTATTTATGTTGCCATAGTTAATTTATCTCTTTGTCCACACGCAAAAGCGTATCACAGTGCAACAGATAATGTTTAACATTGCGTGTTTTACTTCTTTACATACAGTTATCGAAAATGGCAAAAATATTTCTCAAATGAAAAGTTTGCAAACAGTATTATAACTGTATTATAACTGTAATCTGTGATCCACAAATGTAGCGCGACAAGAGTTTATATAAAAACGCGATAAGTTCAAGTAAAAATTAATTAAAAATTATTATTAATATAAAAATATATACACAATAAGCACATGCAGAGAAGAAATTGATTTATGAACAGGAAAATTATTGTCGTACATACTGCCCGGTTTTATATTTTTTCAACTGTCGCGATAAAATATTGAAAACATTTTCTTTTCGAATTAAAGCTAGTACATATAGAAATGTAAAAAAAAAAAAAAATGATAATGGCACTCTGATTCACGGTAGAATGAAGTGACGCGTTAATTTCTCATGAGGTGTGCAACACATAATTATATGAAAACATGAAATGAGAAAATTACTTTTTGTTGAGTCTGTAAAGAGTCTCAAAAGTTAATACACAATGAAATGGTTAATTCACAATACGTGAATTAAATGTATCAAAATGTTTTAAAAATGCATTCTCATCATGTGTACAAATTTAATGCTTTAAATTTGGCAGAGAGAAGGCTTTTAAAATATAGCATTTAATATATTGAGAAAATTCTCATTTTAGAATACACACTTTATATTTAAACTTATGCTTCAAGAACTTATATATTTGATTATATTTCTTTTGCAATCATCTTTGTTATAAGAAGTAAGTATTACATTTATTACGCAAAGTATAACAATATTAATTTGACGATCAACTTAATTCCCGAAGCTTCCTCACGTATATTTATTTGTATTGGGGTAAGTAATTTATTGTTACATGTGTGCATTTATGCAAAAACTTTGTCTTGAGTGACACAGAAATTTTATAAATTTGCGAAATCGATTAACATGCTAACAGCAATTTGTATATTGTTACCGCAATTATGCGCTACTCGATTAAGGAATTAAAAACCCGCGCGATCGTGATCGATCCTCGTGTACGTTAAAAATATATAAGAACGGTGTATATTATATCAATTAATCGCATCGTTATTAATCAGCGCGCGCCGGATATCGACGCTTATTAATCGCCTACGAGATTACAAGAGTTACGTTTATTCGAGAGACTAGCATTGATCAATGGCCGTCTAATTTAAGCGCGAGATTTCTTGCTCTTCAGCTTGAACCATCCCGCGCTCTTGTTAGGGTCGCGTGGCACGGACGTGGACCTGCTCAATTCCGGTTTGGAGTTTCGCGATTTCGTAGCCAGCGATTCCGTGGAGACGGTTCTATCCACTTTTTGCTTGTCCTTCGATTTCAGTGTACTGCGGTTGATCGTACCTGCAATGATTAATATTTATTTTTTATGATCAATTGCGATTTTTAAGGTAGGTTACAGGATCGCATTTGAAAAATTTAAAAAAATATATGGATGACTTTTTTACATATTAATATTTAACATGAAATATTAATAATTAATATTGAAATATATTTATGTGTATAACCCATCCTATGTTGAAATGTTTATTGAGGATATTTCTTTTTTATATAATTTAGCTAAAAGGTGCACAATAAACAAAATATTAAAAATAAATATTAAATATCAGGAACAGGAATTAGTAAAATCGAAAAAACTTTGACATACAAATTCGGGTATATATAAAGGGCTCTTACTAATTTATTTATTAGCATTTACTAGTCCTTTATACCCGAATTTATATTTTTATATCGGAGTTTTTTCGACTTTATTATTTTTAAAATAATTATTATTCCTAATATTCAATATTTATTCCTAATATTTTCTCTATTGTGCAAGACCTAAATTAGCATTATTATGAAATTAATAAAATTATTTTCTCTATATTCTTATAAACTACGATTCGTACATAAGATTACAATATAATAAAGCTTGTATATGGTAAGTAAGCAATAGATAATTGCACCAATTTAGCTTTAATGACCAAATTTCGAATTAAATTTGATGGTTATTTTCCTGAAAAAAACCCTTCCCTTCCTCCTTTTAAGAAATCTAAATTTCTGTCAATTTTTACCTTTTAATACAATTATTTGAATATAATTAATTGATATTATAAGAAATATTTTGCTTTTTTTAGCAGACTTCAAGTAGCAAAAAATGTGTAAAACTCATTACAAACTTATTTTCAGAGATATTTAAAAAATGTTTAAATAATTTGGTTAAGTTCCTTTTTATTCATTAAAAAAAGTTATTTTATAATGTTAATATTCAATAAATATTTAATAGATAAATAAATATTTATATTACATTAACGTTAAAATAAACATTTTTAATAAATAAAAAGGGATTTAACCAATTATTTTAATATTTTTAATAAATTTTAAATACTTTTTATATATTTTTTCTACTACTTTTATATACTTTTTTTACTACTGACAACTTGTTATGCATTTGCTGAAATTGACTACTCGCTTCTTTGCAAATCTTTATTAAGAAAATGAAATATATTGCCACACATCGTAGATTTAATCTACATACATTTAAAATGCTTTATGCGTATTCTCAAGAATGAATACATTTATTCTCTTTAAAGATACGAGATTTTTTTTATAATAAAAACATTTACTTGTCTTGGAAAGATTGTCCTTGCTTCGTCGAGCTTCCTTTCCTCGACGATTGAGAGTCTCGCGGCTCCGTTGCCTGCGTCTCATGGTCGCGATCGGTTTCCCGTGCTGTTGCTGATCGTAGTTGATCTCGAACGGTTCCCTGTAATGTCGCGGCTTCCACGGTGCAAGGACGCTCACGCTCCTCGACACCGTTCTCGTATGCGATTGCAACGGTCGATTTAACTCCTCGCGACTCGCCGCCCGACGTCGTTCGTTCGGACCCGGTATTTCGCCGACTGGAATGCAGATATATCGAAGTTGAATCATAATTACAGAGTGCAGTTACGCTTGACGACATTTTCCGTACTTTCACTGTCGAATGTTATTTAACCTCGATGGTTAAATAACTTTAAACAGTCAACACTAGAAAGAGAAAGACCATTTTTCATGTTTTCTATGACGCAAGTGCAACGGGTCTTACACAATTTCGAACGCTCAATGAATAATGGCCTTACACAGTATCTTTTATTAGAATGGTAATATATTATGACCACATGTGTTATATACAAGACATTAAAAAAAATTTAAACACTTATTCTTGGACTAATTTACAATAGAGCTGACATCTCCTTTAATGAAATCTTAATTAAGCAATTTTTGTTTCAACAAACTATTATTTATTTCATTTCTTGAAACTTTATCCACAAAAATAATTTCGTTTAATCGCTTACAGTATAAAAATTATTAATAATATTTTAACAGTTTCGATACATGTGATCGTAAATTAAATTTACGATTTTGAATTTTCGAATATTTGTAAAAATTTTTGAAAGAAAAGAGTTGTATGTATATTATAAATGGATAGCAAAGGATCATATTGTGAAAAAATATTAAAATACAATTAAAAGTGCTAGATTAAAAATATAATCGGTTGTACCTGTAGCAGCATGGAGATACACGACAGATCTTTGTGATCTCTGAGAGTTTTGACTTTGCTGGCTGCTATCACCCGTTGTGCTTTCGCCTGAAGACAATGCGCTTTCAGCGAGTCTGGGAGGTTTTCTTGGGGCTGATATGATACCTAAATTATGGCGGTTCGAATTCGTGACATCACGTCTTGAGCAGGCGTGGTCGTTAATTCGTTTGTTTCTGAAATAAATAATTATTCTTGTTAGTACAGAAATTTATATATATTTTTAATTATATATAGGCATAGGTGTATCTATATATTATATTTTTTTCTTTGTAAGAAATATATATTATTCTCGTAAAATTTACCCTGAAAATCATGTTAATCGTGAGACAATATGGAAGAATTTTATAATAGTTTCTCTGTGATTAAATATATTTATCACAATAAAACATATTAAATCTATCACAATAAAATATAAATGTGTTCGATTAATTTTACTACTACTACTGTACATAATAATATTTTTTATCGTGATAAATATTAATCAGAGAAACTTATAAAATTCTTTCATATTGTCTCACGATTGACATAATTTTCAGGGTAAATTCTAAGAGAAAATTCTCTCCGTATAGTAAAAAAATAAATATTAAATTAATCAGGGCAAACATTTAAATCACTCTCGCGCAAAATATTTCATCGGTGCATACAGCCGCGTATATATGCGCGGTTCGTATTATAGCATTTACCTGCGGTCTCTGTTGGACGAGACGGACTCCTGATCCGTATCGCCGAAGAAGCGGAGATTCTTTTGCACGGAAACTCGTTCAGGCGCGGAGGAAGCTTCCTCATCCTCGGTGCCGGTCGTCAAGATCTCGCTCTCGGGTATTCTCGGCTTTTTATCCACCGGCTGCAAAGTTATCGACGCTTCATTATTCATGATCTCGACCAAATATAGCCGCGCGCGCAGATTATTTCTGCGTATAACAATTACGCCCGCTTATTCCAAATATCGATTTATCGAACGTTGTAATTTCGCGAGAACAGAAGACGGATTTTGCAAGAGTGCGATAGATTGAAACGTATCGTTGTAATGATATATTATTCCGTGGTAATATATAATTTTCATAGCGCTAAGCACATACTTGACTTGAGTCAGTTTCTCGACTTTTAAGGGTGGTTTTGTCAATCTCGATTAACTTTGAAATCTTTTCTCTTGTAGAAAAGTTGAAAAGTTTGAAACAGAAAAATCTTTACATCTTTAAACCGCGTTATTTTTTCAAGTCTTTTTCCATCAACATTTTTCACAACCTGTTTGTAAGAAAATTCAATAAGATACCATTTAAATCGATTTTCAATAGACATAATCCTACATAATCCGAATCTTTATCTGGCGCAACAATACGCATATAATCCAAAGAAAATTTATTATGTGTGCCTACTCCGAAATAATCTTATTATCCTTTCTATAGGATAATGAGATTAAGGATAAGGGGTAGGATTAAGGACGCTTCGAGTTACTAACAGAGCTTCGGGGAAAATAGAATACGACGCGAAATAGTAAACGTAAGCTCCTCTTTGTCAATTGTTCGAGAGGCGCAACACAACTGGGCCTCTCCATCGACGGTCGCGAATTTTTCGGACTCCGAAGCCCCTTCGGTCGGACGGCAGAAAATCGCGCGAGCGCGCGTACAAAGCCATATTCTTCCCGCGGCTCGCAAAAATCGCGGCCTCCCCTCGTGGTTGCATCGCACGGCGCCTTCATGAGTCATGATTCTCCCCGAGCCGACTCATCCGATAGATCATCGTCCACGGCGAGAGATTCATACGCACGCAATCATCTCGAACGAGC